TATATATATTATATATAGACGATATTTGAAGTTAAACGCCCTGTTAAATACTTAGCTACAGAAGTCTAAAATTTTCGCTTGCTCGCCTGACCCGCTCACTAGCGCATGCCTATGCAGTTATTATAAATAGACGCTTCAAATTCCTGCCGCTTTTCCTCGATTCAAACCAACCGTTGTGTTATTATTGTCGAAGACAACGACCCAGTGCGCATGTTGAGTGAAGTCCACTTCCACTTATTGTTAATTGATCGCTAACCAGCAAGTGGTTGAATTAAGCACGTATTTCAGTAACAAAATCATTTACTTATTTTTAAACTTATAAATGTTATAAGAAATATTGATACTCACCGCAAACGGCGCCTGCAAATAAAATAATTCCTACGATGCAAATCATACCGGTGAAATGAACTCTTCCTGGTTACGGAATATGCTGACGAACAGCCAGCCCCCGCTTTTATATGCTGCGGAGCGTACGTTTCAACCGGCCTCGTGTGCTCATGTCGGAGTTTCCATTATCATAATACAGTGCAGATACGAGGTAAATGATCAAGTGGGCTAGAGAAGGGTTTCCCAGGAAGGTAGGCAATTCCAGTGAGATAATTCTAAATATAAAGAGAAAAATTTACGCTTTATGGAAGGAAGTCAACTTTTGACCTTCGTATTTGAATCTGAGCATCGTGTCACTTTGGAATGAAAATGCTTACCACATATCTACGTATTTATTTTATATCAAAGAAAGATTTTTGCTTCCTCTTATTTCTCGCGGTGGCTAAAAATGGAACGAAAAAATCTATATCAACAAAGTGAATCTACCTCTACGCAAACCCGCACTGTGTAAGCCAGATCACTTTCTGCTTTCACAGAAAAAAATAAAGTACGCTTTCTCTTCTCCTCTATCTCTTTTGCTTCCTCTTTTTCTTTCGCTTACCCTTTTTCTTTCGCAGCCAGTTTCTCTTTGACTCCCTCTTTCTCCTTCGCTCTCTCATTCGCTCCCTCTTTCTCTTTCACTCCATCTTTCTCTCCCTCTTTCTCTCCCTTTTTCTCTCTCGCCCCCTCTTTCTTTTTCGTTTCCCCTTTCTCTTTCGCCCTCTCTTTTTCTTTTTCTCCGTCTTTCTCTCCCTCTTTCTCTTTCACTTCCTCATTCTTTTTCGCTCCCTCTTTGTTTCTCGTTCCCTCTTTCTCTTTCGCTCTCTTTTCCCCTTTTGCTCACTCTTTCTCTTTGATTCCCTCTCTCACTCACTCTCACCCTCCCTCACTCTCTCACCTTTTCTCACTCACTCTAACTCACTTGCTCTCACTCTCTCACTCACTCAATGACTCACTCAACCACTCTCACCTCTCACTTCTCACATACTCTCACTCACTCACTATCTCACTCTTATTCACTCTTGCTGTCTCTTACTCTCTTTGTCTTTGACTCTTACTCACTCTCATTCTCACTCTCTCACTCAACTTTTTGAAGAGATATGTATTGTCAAAGATGACATTATTGCAAAAATTACGCAAACTTTTCTAAAATATATCTCACTGATGACTAGTAATGGCCTTACATTGAGGAAAATTTTGTCTCATGGGTTTATGTAATACTTGTATATTTTCTTCTCAATTATTTATTTTGTTATTTCCTTTTTACAATTAAACATACATATTTTTTACTCATTAAAAAATATTTCCATCATCATTAATAACTAAATAATTTTAATAATAATAAAATAATTCAAACAATGGGAATATTAGGTTCTTTGATATATCTATCAATATTGAATTTAATTTTTAAATTATCATTCTCTTCAGTGGATAATTGTTTTAATAATAGTATTTACATGTCACAATTTCATCATCCACTACACTAGAACATACTTTACGTAATAATTTGTTATGAAAGTTATAATTTTTCGATGTTCCAAAATAGATAAAGAGATATAAGTGATTTGGTCTCCTCAGTAAGATTTCTCAAAAGGTTTTCACAATGAGTTCTTACATTTCCTTCAGATAGACTTAATTTTTCTTTTAGTATCAATAAAAATTGAATATACCTCTTTATTGATGATGATGATTGATTGATTTTGTGACATTTAACATATTAGAAGTTTCAGTCCATTCAAAACTTCTGTATCATTTTTAATAGGAATATACATAAATGTTCATGAATAATAGTACATTATGAAACGATCATGTAATGATGAATATTAATACATGAGTATGATAAACAGTATGAATGAGGAATGAGCAAGTATCGTAAACTTCACATCAAAGCATTAATACCCATTACATTGAGTATCACATATAACTTTTTTTATGACTTATAGTAACTTTTATAAGTTAAACTTTTACATTGAATCATTTTGTGGTATTCAACCTTTGTGGTATTGCAGTATTGAGCCTTGACCTGGCGAACAGCTCCCTACCCTATCCTGCCACTGTTGGCTTTGGTTTACCAGTCCTCCTGCAAGGAAGTGCAAAAGTTAAGTTTGATCTTAGTAAAGGAATATATTTCCTTTAACAAACAGATAACACATTGAAAACAGTTTTTTTTCTATGAATAATGATAATAAAGAAATTGAACACTTTTGATAACATTTATTTAATCTTATTTACTTTTTACAAATGTTTTGAAATGTACGTATTCTGTATTGTACAGATATAAAAATTTAATTTTTAAGGTAGACTTCAAAACTGAATAATGTGTCCAAAGTTGAGGATTTCATTTTTCTGCTAATTCCTCGAAATAAATACATAAACAAAACATTTTCTGAATATGAGTTAATGTTTTTGTTTTCTCGCCATTCTATAATCTGCTGGTTTAATTTTTTGTACTTTCTGTGACTTTTGCGGCAATAATTCCATCTACATTTTTGCTTTTTCTCTAATTTCTAGAGGTATCAACTCCACCTTTAATTCCCAGACATTTTAAACTGAAGAATTGGCCAGTTTTTAAGGGCAACCATGGGGCACAACATATGATACTAAACGACTTGCATTCTGATATTAACATAAGACAAACGTTCCCTCCAATAACTACCACTGCACTAGTCAAATAGGTTTAATGAAAAATTATGATCCAATTTATTGTAAATAATATTCCATGTAAAAATTGAAAAATAACAAAAGAAATTAAAACTGACATGCGTAATAAAATATTAAATACAATATTAATGTACACAATCGAACGAAACATTTACTAGAATAATTCACAGTGATTAATTAAGTGTCATGATTTGGTGTATACACTTCTCTTCGATTGGTCAAAAACCTGTATTATAATATATTGTAATGAGTATCTATGCAATGAGTTGCAGCCATCAAATGAAAGAATTATACAATGGGAGTAGAAAAAATCATTAAAGTGTTGAACTCTCTAAGCATTATAAAATAAATGTTGTTGTCCAAGGTAGTGGACTAATTGTGATGGAAGGCTATCCACAAAATGAATCAAAAATATATTTTATATCATGTAAAAAAATAAAAAATAAAAAACAACAACAATAACAACAACATTGAAACGTGCACCACTATTTTTTGAGGTATCCATATTCACAGCCTCACGTTCAATCTGGCAGATGTGATTGGGACTATCTTGATTGGGACTATCTTGATTCGTCTGTCATAAATACACAGTGAAAATGTGGAATTTTAAAGATTTGAATACAATTGTTGATATCATAATTAGTTGTTTAATTAGGCTTGAGACACATTGCTTTAGAGATTAAAAAGAATGGATCTTCATTCGTTAAATTTTTTCTTTCTTTCTTCCTCTCCCACTTTCTCTGCTCATGTTATTATGTTTGAGCTCTTCTACATCAACTTTATTTTTAAACCTGTAGTGACTCCTTCGTAAATAGCTTTGCCATCACTCACTCATAAAAGCCTTAATATTGTTAAGAGGTCTACAATAAATCTGCCATAGTTTCTGGATTGTGGTTTTTATATTTGAAGAATGAGATGAATAAACATGCACAAAACCTATCTTCATGCTCTCTTGCTAATCTTCCACTTGTTTGGAAGTTAAAATATTGTCAAAATTGATTTTTTCACCTCATGAGGTATTAATCTTGAGTTTATAAGTTTTATTTTCTTTATTTATCGGTATGAATAATTATAGGTATGAATTATATATATTGAAATCATTTCTTCTATTTTATTTTGCTGTCTTTGCTATTATATGTCTTTGCCATTGTATACTCTCTAAGCAGTGATTTTAGCATTTTTGTAAATTGTGATAAACTGGAATCATTTTGAGAGCATAGGCTTCCATGGCTGGAGTCAGTGTTTACTTGGCTATCCTAGAGACACTGTGTCCAGGGCACAGGTGTCAATGCCATCTTTTTTATTGCAATGTGTATTCAATAGCATTAAATTAAATATGTTTGCCTTTGCTGATCACTTTGTAAATTCATTGTATTTATAATACATATGATCTTTCAAAAAATAAATTCTACCATTTATATATCAAAATGCTGCATCCATATTTGATGGGATACCAGAAAAATATATTAAAATCATACAATTTTTTCTTCTTTTGCAAGTACATTAATGAATTTTAGAACAATAGTTATCATTCTAAAATAAATATTTTTGTCTGAATTAAAATTAATATTCACTGAATACAGTTTAATATTTAGTAATAAATGGAATGTATTTTCACTGCCAAAGGAAGTGAAGAATGTATTTTCACCCATCACAGTGATGTGTTTTGAATAATGTTATTAAATTAAAACTAGAATAAGTGATCATTCAATAAATATTTTGAATAAAGAATACAATCTCTCCTGTTCTTTGGTAAATAGAAGTCATACCTGAAAAATCTTGAAGATAAAATGGTAACCAATTTTTTATAAGTTGTGGATCAATGATTTCTTTTGTTTTCTAATGTATGATCTAAATTCGTTCTTCATATAGCTCCTAGAGAATATCATATATAATTAATAAATGGTGAATTTTAATTCTACCAACTGCCTATTCTGAATATCCTTTATATACAACTGGAAAATTATGTAGCTTTATATCTTGTTTCATGTTTGCAAAATTATTTGGATTATCAGTACTTTGACATATTGCTTTAATTGATCACCTACTTCATTCAGTCCTAATACAGTATCCATTTATTATTTATTATACAGATTTTTTTTTAAATTTAAAATTCTAGTCAGAACTCACTTTCCAAAATACTGAGTTGTTTGGTCATTGGAGAATTTTGGTAAAATGTATCATGATCTAGAACCAATAACACTCAAAGCAGGTAAAAATGGTTAAAATTGGGAAATTTGGTGAAAAAATCTATGAAAATATTATTCTTTAATAATAAAATAAGAGAAAAGAAATAAATGATCTTTATTCAAATATCTCACCACTAGAAGGCATTGAGCTCCATGTCCGGCAAGTTTGAGGCCATTTTCAATTTTTACTTTTCAATTTC